GCTGGTGGCGGCGGCTGGTGGCGGCGGGTGGGAGGGTGCGGCGCCGGGATCAGTGGTGGCGGCGGGGCACTTGGAGCGCGTCGGTGAATGCGGCGTCTTGGTGGCGCGTGTTATTGGGCACTTAGGAAGTGCGGGATGCGTGTATCACATAACCATAGGCGAGGAGATTCGCCTCAATCAGCAGGTGCACGCTGACCGCAACTACGACCTCCACTTGGATGCGCAGCCCACAGGCGCCCACGCGCTGTGCATAACGACCATGTGAGAGGGCGCCTATGCGCGCCAAACTAGGGTCGCATCCCTCAACGACCACACAGGCGCGTGTATTCGCACCCTGCTGCTGGCAGCGCAGGCGCCACGCCGCCTCGTGGACCTCAAGGCGCAGGTGCGCCCCACAGCTCCACACAATTGCTGTCCGGGGCCGGCCGCCAAGCCGCAGCGAGGGCTGTCCCGCAGCCACACGCACCTCGGGCGAGAGAGGAGGGGCGGGCCCGCCCCCTGTGCGCGGCCACAAGCGCGCCAAGCGCTGCAGCGCCGGCCGCGATGCCGGGCATTCCATGAATGCATGCAGCAGCTTTGCTTTGCTTTTGATACAGAATAAAAGACGCGGACGGAGCTTGCAGCCAGTCACCGAGAGCAAGGATCTGGCAAACACACAGGTACCAGGCAGGGCTGAAGCCGCGGGAAACCCCGAGAAACCGCTATCTTCCAAGCCACAACGCCGCAACCCTTCCCCCAACCTCAAAGTCGTTCAGGTGAGATAGAGGAGGGGAGCCAAGCACCACGTGCAAAAGTGGGGATCCATGCATCACACGCGAGCGATGAAAGCAGGGCGTGGGGCGCGCGAACCCGCAGAACGCACACGGCCACAGTGGGCGCGGGGCAGGGGAGCGCGCCACCCATCCATGCAGAAAGTGGGACCGCACGCCGGCCTTGACAGCCGCACCCACGTCAGCTTCGGCGCAGCGGATGCGGCTCGCTGCGGCGGAGGCCGGCCGCGTTCTTGCGACGCCGGATGGCGGGATTGCGGTGGTCGTCAGCGGCAGGTGCGTGCAGACGCGTGGCTGCCCGTCGCCCTCGGTTATGCAGCGCGCCCTGGGCACACGCTCGTTGAGTTTGTGGGCCACGCAGCTGGAGTGTGCGCTGTGGCGCTGCGGGATTGCTGGTCTGCGGCTGGAGCTTGCCGGTATGCCGCGGGCCGACGTGAAGTCGAATACCATGTGATCGACGCGTTTGCAGGGACCGGTCCCGCGGGCGGGCGCCCGATGACTGCGACAGTGTTCAAGCTCTGCGCATTTGTGGCCGGCGCCCTCCCGGCGGGCAGGGTTGTGGTGCAAGGATTAAAATTGAGGTTAGGATTGTTACAGCGTCGCGCGGTCGCCCGCTCCTGGAGCCATCCAGGCTCATGGGATTGTACAGTGAGGCACCAACGTTGTGTGACTGATGTTCAGGTGGCTACCGTGCGCCGTTGAAACCAGGCGTGCACGAAGGCCCCAAATGTGTGCTGATCCGCGTGCAGCGCGGATGCGCGCATGCGCGCAAGCGCGGGTAGATTTTCAAACAAGGGCGCAAAGCGCGGCTCGGCCCGCAGGTCCGCGTATGCGGGGTAGTCAAGCAGAGCATGCTCAGCCGTTTCGTTACGGCCCAGGCCGTCGCAGTGGGGGCAATGGGCGGAGGTGTTGTAATGAAGAGTCGGTGACGCCACGAAGGGGGCAGAGCAGCAGCGCAAGGCCAGCAGCTGCGGCTACCAGGCCAGCAGCTGCGGCTGAGCGCGAACCGCGTCTGGATAGGCTCGGTGGCCGGCCCTGCGCCGCAGCCCGCGGCGCCGGAGCAGCGGCCGGTGTCCGAGCGCCTCACGTGTCTTGAAGGCAGCGCCTTACCCCAGCCTGCGCGGCAGCAGCAGCAGCAGCAGCAGCAGCAGCAGCAGCAGCAGCAGCAGCAGCAGCAGCAGCAGCAGAAGCAGAAGCAGAAGCAGCAGAAGCAGAAGCAGAAGCAGCAGCAGCAGCAGCAGCAGCAGCAGCAGCAGCAGCAGCAGCAGCAGCAGCAGCAGCAGCAGCAGCAGCAGCAGCAGCAGCAGCAGCAGCAGCAGCAGCAGCCGGAGCATGGACAAAGCAGAAACGGCGCAGCTCGCCGACATGTACAGCCAGCCCTGGATGCACCCCTCACCGGCCCAGGTGCCAGCGGCCGAGCGGGCTCGCCTGCAGGACGCGGCGGCACGCCAGAGGCAGCCGGCGCCCCAGTGTAACATCGCCGACGCCCTGAGCCGATGGGGAGTCGGCCGGCCAGCGTGGAGGGCAGCTTGGCAGGAGCTGCGGGGGCACCGCCACAGGCCAGATTATGTGTTTCAGGGGCGGCTCCTGCATGGGGGTCTTCCCTGCGGAGCTGCCCGGGTGCAACACTGGGCGTTGGGCGCCGACGGCCTCGCCGAGGCGGTGTGCTGCGGCAACGCGGCGTGCCGCCGTCCGCCGACCGCAGGTGAGTCCGTGACCGCCGCTTGGTGCCTGGAGACGGTGCAGCACGCCCTCCTTGACTGCCCTGCCGTGCGACCCGCCCTTCAATGGCTGGCCGCACAGTGGGTGCCGATTGAGGGGGGTGGGGGCCCCCCACTCACAGCCGCGGTCTGGCTGTTGAGGGACCCGGGTGCATGGCAGCCGCAACGGGCCCACGCGGGCCTTTGACGCAGCCTTCGCACCGCCATGCTCTGGGCGGTGTGGGGGCTGCGCACACGCAGGCTCGCCACGGGCACGCAGTTCGGCCCCACCGACGTGGGCCGGGACTTCACTGCGGGCGTGCGGCGCGTCGTGCGCGCCGACTGGCTGCGCGCTACGACGGACATCACCGACATGCAAGGCGTGCGGCGGAGCTGGTTCCCCGCTGCGAGGCAGCGCAGGCAGTTCTCAGTTGTCGACTTTGAGACGGCGTGGTGTGCAGGCGGCGTCGTGGCTCACGTCACGCACGCGGCGGGCGACCAGCGCCCGCGTGTGGAGCCGCCCCCACGGACAGCGACATGGCGTGACATAGTGCAGCCCCACATTCTCGCGCGCTTTCGCACTGCTCTTTTGTTGCTAACCATTGGGCTCATCGTTTCTCAGCCATCCGCCCGTCGCCGCTTGTGCGGGCGCGGCGACGCACTTGAAACGCGCGGTGCAGCCTGTGTGCCGAGCTACCTGACGCCCACGGCCCTCGAGCTATCGTGGTGCTGACGGGAACGGTCCGGTCCTGTTGCTCAACCGTGGGGGTTTGGAGGGTTTCCCCCCGGTGCCATATCGGTCCTGCTGATGCCCCTCGCGCACGCCGCGCGTGGGGCTCCCCTGCACATGGCCACAGCTCACCTGTCAGTTTTGAGGTTGCACGCAGGTGCTCGGCACCTCGCTGCCCCAGTGTAACCGACTGTCTATTGAAAAAACGGCAGCAGCTGCAGCAGCCGCACACACACACACACACACAGCAGCAGCAGCAGCAGCAGCAGCAGCAGCAGCAGCAGCAGCAGCAGCAGCCGCACAAGCAGCAGCAGCAGCCGCACAAGCAGCCACCGCTGCAGCAGCAGCGGCAACAGCGGCAGCAGCACGACCAGCAGCGGCAGCAGCGGCAGCAGCAGAAGCAGCAGCAGCAGCGGCAGCAGCAGCAGCAGCAGCAGCAGCAGCAGCAGCAGCAGCAGCAGCGGCAGCAGCAGCAGCAGCGACACCGGCACCAAGAACGCGCAACGGCACAACAGGATCACATGCGACACCTCCAGGACCAGCAGCAAGCGCGCGCAGCAGCAGCGGCCGCCGCCACCGCCGGAGCAGCAGCAGCAGCAGCAGCAGCAGCAGCAGCAGCAGCAGCAGCAGCAGCAGCAGCAGCAGCAGCAGCAGCAGCAGCAGCATGATGATGAGGAGGACGAGGAGCAGCAGGAGCAGCAGCAGCGGCGCCAGCGGCGGAAAGGGGCGGCTCGGGAGACGGTGGGCGTGCAGGAGCGAGCGCGGCTGGCCTTGGAGGCGGAGGCGGTGCGCGCGGTGGCTGCGGCGCGTCACGCACAGCAGGAGGAGGCGGAGGGAGAGCGCGTTGAGCAGCAGCCTGGGCCGGCGTATGGCTGCGACGACCTGAGGGGGGACGACTGCGCGCACCTGGCCGACATAGCCTTTTGCTTTGCGTTTTTTTTCTTTTTTTTCATAGACAGTCGGTTACACGGGGGTAGCGAGGTGCCGAGCATCTGCATGCAACCTCAAAACTGACAGGTGAGCTGTGGCCATGTGCAAGGGAGCCCAACGCGCGGTGTGCGCGAGGGGCGTGAGCAGGGCCGATATGGCACCGGGGGGAAACCCTCCAAACCCCCACGGTTATGCCACAGGACCGGACCGTTCCCGTCAGCACCACGGTAGCTTGAGGGCCGTGGGCGTCAGGTAGCTCGGCACGCAGGCTGCACCGCGCGATGCAAGTGCGTCGCCGCGCCCGCACGAGGGGCAACGTGCGGGTGGCTGAGAAACGAGGAGCCCAAGGGCGGGAAATGAAGAGCAGCGCGAGAGCACGCGGGGATGTGGGGCTAGACTATTTCACGCCATGTCGCTGTCCGTGGGGGCAGCAAGGCGGAACTCCATTCGCGGGCGCTGGCCGCCCGCCGCGTGTGTCACCCGAGCAACCACCCCGCCGCCACACCATCGCAGCTCAAACCCAGACAAGCTCAAGGGCTGGCCCCGGCCTGGGAACCACGAGGGGCTCGCGCCGGCGAGCTCAGGGGCGTCAGCCTGGGCGCTGTGCCATTCCGCCGCACCGCACGCTGCACGCCGTCGATGACGTCATCGACGACGTCAGCCGCTGCGAACTGCTGTCCCGTCACCTGCCACCGACACGCAGCGCAGGCGCCACGCCGCCTTCAGGACCGCAAGGCGTAGGTGCGCCCACAGCTCTCGACTGCCCGGGGCCGGCCGCCAAGCCGCCGGGCTGTCCTGCAGCCACACCTTGGGCGGG